AAATCCGAAAATGTCTAAATATCATTTTGGATAGAATGAGTGTACATTTCCCATCATTTCAAAGATTTGATTCCTCTCGACAAACATTACAGTTATTTTATTTAGTGTTTAAAAGAGTTAAGAGAAAAGGCGCTCCAATTATATTTTAGTCACAAGGTTTAATTTCCAAGTAAATATATTATATTCTTTCACAATAATGTTTCCTGATTTGTTTGGTGATATTCAAATCAATATTCGTTTAGGGTATATGTCTAAGTAAATGTGATTTATTCTTTCAACAATTATAAAGTTGAGATATGGGTATATATTATCTATTATTTCCATACTCCCGAGGCACGTTGGGTTTGAGACATGGGAGAAACTTTGGGATTCCACGAGTCACAATCTTAAAAAAATTTCAAAACCATCCATCATTTAATATACTTCAATGGATTATGAAAAGGAAAATTGTTTGATGCGGGCTGGACCGCATTTTTATATGGCGTCCGGGAAAGTGTAAAGCATCCATCTTAAAGATGGATGCAAGTAGGTGTTTCATCTAAAAACGATAGAAATTAACAGCTCAAATGTTTTCTTACTAGAATTATTATTTTTAGTTTTAAAATTTTATTTATTTTATCATATTCATGATCTCAATGTTAGATATTACATGCCTTTAAAAATTAAGTCTTAAAATCCATCTCAAAAATAGATTTCTTAATAGGACCGCATTTCTACATATGCAGGGCTTGGCTGCATAGAAACCGGGTCCTTATGAAAAACCACCAAAACACATGTTCGGCCCACCCCATCCATCACCATCCATCATTTTATTGGATGATGATAACCCAACAAACTGTAGATCTTATGGTCCAAGGAGCATATAATTTGATTCCTCATATGATCCGGCTATAGGCTGTGTTATTAGGGGGTGATAATGGACCCGACTGGGCCCAGGACCCAATGGTTATACCCCGACCTCAGGTCTGGGTATGTATCTAAATTTTGGACGCGAATACTATTCGAGTCTAGAATTGAGTCCAGCCGGACCCAACCCATACTTGTAATCATAGGGTATATGATGACAATCATGTGTCTTTAGGCGCGCAATAGATATTCATATTGTCACAATATTGACAATATTTACCGGCCAAAAAAAAAAAAAAAGCTCATAGTCATTAGATATATGATGGTAAAAAAAGAGAGCCGGGACTTCACAAGTCCAAGTACGAATACTATTCAGGTCTGGGTCCAGCTAGATCCGACCCATTGCCACCCCTAATGTTACATGACTTACTTCCATCAACCATGAGGGGCATTTTGGTCATTTTTCCATTCGATTTTATTACACATCAAAGAGTTCTGGACTATTTTTTTCCCGATATTCTAGCTCCCCATAAAAAACAAAACGGTATGTCTTGTTTGATCTTTCTACGCCAATTTATTTGGCTTTGTTTCAAGTTTTCTCTCTCTACATTCTCTGTCTAGATTTTCTCTCTTACAAGAAGTTTTAAAGACTTTTTCTTGGCTCACATATGGTCAAATTTTCAATAGAAACGAAACCAACTGCCACCCTTACCTGTTTAAAGCAAAATGCGCAACGGCATCCACGCTCTGCATAGGCTGGAATTAGAGGGAGTTTCTCACTCCTCCAAATTTAGAGAGAGAGAGAGTGTAAGGGGGCCACCTCCTTCCCACCACGTCTGGTTTATTTGCTTCCCATTACTCAGACACACACACACCAACATACATATTTCAATTCAAATGCCCACCACCCACATCTGAATTTTTGTTTTGATCTCCATTTTTATCACCACCACCTCCAAACCAAGCAACCCACATCCATTCATGCTCTTCTTTGTGCCCAAGCACGGGTGGGTTTGATTCCATCCTTTTCTCAATTGGCCTGTACAACCTATTAGTCCATTCAAAATATTCAAGAGCAAAATTAAAGGAAGATTAGTCCTTTTCGATTTTATTGGGATTTTTTATTCGAAGAGGGTTTTTTAGATATTAGGAGGAGCACGATCGGCTTTTGAGATGAGGGTGGTTGGAGCTGTAGCATAATTTTTGCATTGTTCTTTTTGAGATTTTTAGAAATTTTGGCGGGTAAATTTGTATCGCGTTAGGAAGATAAAGAAAAGAACCAATAAAGAAAAAAAAAATTGGTTTCGGTGGAGTTTTGATTTTATTTGAGAGATGAGCTGTTTTTCGTGTTTCTCTTCGGATGAAAAGAAATCCACAAAGAAAATCAATGATAGGGATCGGTCGGTGGCCACGCATTATCGCAATACTAGTCCTGTGCAGCCTGGTAAGCTGGTTACTCTTCTTCCATTTGGCATCTTCATTTTTGTGTTTATTAACTTTTCAATAATTTATCTATCAATCATGAGGACCATGTTTTTGAAATGGGTTTTGTTAAGGCTTACTATATATAATGTATCATGACATTGTCATTGTTTTTTTGCTGTTTTTAGATTGTTTGATGGTTTTCTTCCTTGTTTTTCCTGTTTTATGTTCTGAACACTATCGTTGGATCTATAGTTGTGTATCATGAACCTTTCCTCTTCATTTTTCTTTTTTTCTTTTTTTTTTGTATTCAACATAATCATGGTTAGTAATATTGTCTTCACCATTGTCGGCATGGTTAAATTCAAAATTATGATGGCATCATTCTCATCACCATACCTGGGAAGGTTGTTTTTTAAGGTAGTTCGAATCAATCATCATTGGTTGAGGTGACAGTTAATTCCTCTCTGGATGGCACAAATTTACCAAAAAATTGTGATTAAATCAGCTTTGAGAATGCAATACAAGAATAAAAAAGTCATTCTTTTTTTTCTGTAAGGGAATCATTCCATCCACCCTGTTTTTTCACCTTTAATGGCAGCACTGGCTTGAGAACGTTTTCAATTAAAGAGATTTTTCTCTCATCAAAAAATTCGGAATAAAGTACGCGACAATGTCACTAAAAACTCAAACTCAAATTGAATCTCCTTATTTTACTTGCTTCGTATTTAACAGAAGTGCTTGTCCTAATGAATTCACCACGTGTAACTTTGAACAGAGAGTACAAAACTAAAGGCCACGGCTGATGGCAAAAAGGATGGTGGTAAGGTAGGCAATGGGAACATTGCAGCACAAACATTCACTTTCCGCGAGTTGGCAGCAGCCACAAAGAATTTCCGAGCAGAATGTTTACTAGGAGAAGGCGGTTTTGGAAGAGTTTATAAGGGACGCCTGGAGAACAACAGTCAGGTAGATGTATGGTCTCTCTCTCTCTCACACACACACACATACAAAATCAGCCATTAAATGGTAAATAGCAGCCTTCTTTCTCAGTCTATTACGAGTAAAGAACAGATGACCTTGTTCCACCCACTATTGATGGCTGCTTATTAGTAAAAATCACCAAAATTTCCACTAATCTGCAAAAATAAAAAAAAAACTGTTTTTCATGCATTCATAAATAATCCCTTCCTTAGAGGAGTTGTCAGGCCATCCAAAAGGTACCATATTGTATAATGAAATTGGGCTGAGATGATATCCTCATTTATTATTAACAGTAACACCTGAAATATTAATGGATGAGAATTAGAGCAACTTATTCATTGGATTAGATATGGATTTGTTTCTGATTTTGAGTTCTGGGATCAGCTTGTGGCAGTCAAGCAGCTCGATAGGAATGGATTGCAAGGAAACAGAGAGTTTCTTGTTGAAGTTCTCATGCTGAGCTTACTTCATCACCCCAACCTGGTCAATCTCATAGGCTACTGTGCTGATGGAGACCAAAGGCTTTTGGTGTATGAATTCATGTCTTTGGGGTCTCTAGAGGACCATCTTCTTGGTATGGTTTCCTTTTAACCTTTCTCACCCTGAATTTCTCAACCTGATTTTCTCACTCAAAAATATCATTAGATACTGAGTTTTGCTTGTTTCTTATAATTCAAGCAGTTTAATTAAATTAAGTTGGCTTTCATTTTCGTTCTTTTTTGCTATCCTACTTGAGAGAATTCAGTACAAAATTACCATCTTCATGGTTTTGCCCTCTTCTGTACTACTAACTCATTAAGCAATCTTCTAAGGGGTTTTCATTTGCTTCTTACACTTGAGCAATGTTAGAATACATATGCGGGCTTTCTTTTGTTTCTCACTGTTACAAAGTATTTTGATAAACAAGGGAAGATTTTTAAGGAAGATAATCAGAGTTCTGTTCTTTTTGTAATTTAAGATATCACACACGATCAGACACCATTGGACTGGTTTACAAGGATGAAGATTGCTACTGGTGCTGCTAAAGGGTTGGAGTATTTGCACGACAAGGCCAACCCCCCTGTTATCTACAGAGACCTTAAATCGTCAAACATTTTGCTTGATGAAGATTTCAACCCTAAATTATCAGACTTTGGGCTTGCTAAACTTGGGCCAGTTGGAGACAAGACACATGTTTCTTCGAGGGTAATGGGAACGTATGGCTACTGTGCCCCTGAGTATGTTCGAACAGGTCAGCTCACTCTAAAGTCAGATGTTTACAGCTTTGGAGTAGTTTTGTTGGAGTTGATAACAGGGAAGAGAGCTATTGACCCTACAAGGCCCGCAGAGGAGCAGAATCTTGTTTCTTGGGTATGATCTCCCTCTCTTACTCACACACACACACATCTAAATTGTATGTTTATCCATATATCTCCAATTCTACATACAATGCTCTTCTCTTTGAATGTTGGAGAAGCTCAAAAACCCATTTCAAAACAGGCCCAACCAATGTTCAGAGACCAAAGGCGGTTCCCTGAAATGGCTGATCCATTCCTTGAAGGGAACTATCCAGTCAGGGGACTCAACCAAGCGGTTGCAGTAGCAGCGATGTGTCTTCAGGAGGAAGCAGACACTCGTCCCCTAATAAGCGATGTGGTAACTGCGCTAAGCTTTCTCTCTACAACTGATATCGCTGCACCTCCTCCACCAAACCCTTCTCCTCAACCAGTCCAAGAAGCCCATGATCATAGATCAGAAGATCACAATGTCGAGGACAGAGAAAGGGCGGTGCAAGAGGCAATTGAATGGGGTGTCAATTCTAGAGAGAGGCAAAGAGAGAAATCAAAAGGTGGCAGTGATTCACTTGTGCTGTTCTAGTGCTAATCCGAGTGCCAGGGTAAAAAACTGCATTTTCTGTTTAATTGGTGTTCTTCCAAATAGGGATTGGTTCATCCAGCTCTTGGGGATGTCTTACAGTTACTTGATCAGGGGTAACAGTAGATTGTTGAGAGCCAATTGGGAAGCATGATTTTCAAGTTCACCCTTCTCTACCCATTTCATCACATGTATTTGCAAGGTTATATGGCACTTAAAGTAATGGTATTGTTCCCTTCATGTATACTTTGGAAGTAAGGAACTCTCTCTCTCTCTCTC